AGTTGTCCGTGCAGCGCTAGCTAGGGCAAGCCGACTAGGAGACACACCTGATTCCATCTCTCATGCATCCTCCTGAGGGCACTTTCGGCCAGCCCCTGTTTTTCCTCACATCCCTTGAGGTCCTCTAGGACCCAGCCCCGCTATCCAGCCACCAGAGACTTACAGTTTCCTCAGCCAAGACTACTCTGCTGCTAAACAATCCTTTTCATCTGATGAAAAAGTCCTTTCCCGGGCTGGAGAGATGCCTCAGAGGTTAAGAGCACTGACTGCTCTTCCAGAGGGCCTGAGTTCAATTCCCAGCACCCACATGGTGGCTCACAACCATCTGTTATGAGATCTGGTGCCCTCTTCTGGTGTGCTGATATACATGGAAGCAGAATGTATCATTAAAAAAAAAAGAAAGAAAAAAGAAAAAGTCCTTTCCTCAAGTGTGACAAGATGTCATTCCTTCCAGAGCCTCCCTGACACTTCCCTCCCCCTTGCCCAGATGCCAGGTGCACCACCCAAGCTGGCCCCCTGGCCCACCATGCCCTTCACTGCCTGTGCATCTAGAATTCTGGTTACTGACTGCAAGGACCAGTGAGTGAAGGAGGGGGAGGCTGGCAGCGAGGAAGGAAGCCAGCACCAAGTCTTACAGGACAGAGGAGACCCTTCCTTGGGCACAGCCCGGCTGGAGACCTATCATAGCAGTGGAAGAGCACAGGTTTGTCACCCTGTTTAAGGTTGGAGGCCCAACCTTAAACCACGACACCACAGTTTACAAACTCTCTGGAAGCTTCCATCTCTAATATAAGATGGGGCGGGAACAGCTCGAACACTTGCCAGGTTGAATCTTTAACCAAATTGTACACAGAGCAGCCAGCAAAACTGACCTCCTCTGAGTCTTTTCTCAGTTGGTAGAATGCTTACCCAGCATTCGGGAAGCTCTGGGTTCGAGTCTCCAGGGCCACATAAACATGACCGAATGGCATTGTGCCTGTGATCCCAGTATTGTGGGATGGAGGCATGAAGACCAGAAGTTAAAGGTCACCTTTAGTTACACGGTGAGTTTGGAACCAGCCTGGGCTACATGACACCACATCTCAAAGTCCTGGTTCTTTGCTTCATCCACAAGGTCCTCCCAGGCTTCACTAATCCCACCTCCTACTTATAAAGCCCCTGCTGCAGAGACCCCGCCCCTCTCCTAGGAGATTAGAAATGTAGAAAGGAGGACAAGGAAGGACACCAGGCAGCAGGAGGAGGGGGCACAATGATGATGACACGGTGGGGGGGTGGGGGGGCGGGGCTGCTTTCTGAAGATTACCCCAGAAAGGCACTAGTCAGAAGCACCTGTGCACTCACTGTTCAATGACTTTGTTTTTGTTTTGTTTTTTGGTCTTTTGAGACAGGGTTTCTCTGTGTAGCTTTGGAGCCTATCCTGGCACTCACTCTAGAGACCAGGCTGCCTCTGCCTCCAGAGTGCTGGGATTAAAGGCGTGTTCCACCAATGCCGGACCAACGGCTTTGTTTTAAACTGGGTTTCATGCAGCCCAGGCAGGCCTCAAACCCCTTAAGTAGCTGAGGATGACCTTGAACTTTGATCGTTCTTCCTCCCAGTGGCCTTGCTCTCTGTGTGGCCCACCATGCCCAGCTTTCCCAAGCACATTTATCAAGCAGGTTTCCATACAAGCTGTGGGGAGGGGGTGAGGAGTTCTCTGTGACAGGCAGGCATGATCCTGAGCCCAAACATTCTAACTTCTTCCCATAGACGCAGCACAGTGAATCAGGCGGGAGAGTAAGGTTGCTGTCTGGCCCTGACGGTGGGGTAGGTCTCTATGAAGATGGGGTCCTGGAACTGCTGGGAAGCAGTAACTATGTCAGCAGCCATTGTGAGGGGTCTGAAGGTTAGTCACAGTATATTAGCTTATTAGGAAGCCCCTGGTGGGCCAAGGAGGAAGCTGGAAGCAGATTACGGTTGGACGGGTTATGAGACTTCTGTTCAGTTCCCTCTCTAGAGACAGGCAGCCTTGGCTCAGAGAGTGGGGCCCCTGGTGGGTTGGAAATGGCTGCCTGCAAGATTCTCCCTTCGGTGAATTCTCCCTGGGTGTCTCTGGGTCCTCTGAGACCAGACTTTCAGGGTCCATTCCCTGGGCTCTGAAGTCATCTTCCTGTCTGCCACTGTTTTTCTGCCTGCCTGCCTGTCTGCTTGCTTCTTCTGGTCTCCTTGTCACTAGACTCCTACTTCAGGTCATTGGTGTCTCCTGTCCCCATTCTAAGGACGGATGTGGGGACAAGGCTCTAGGGATTGGGGGGAGCTTGTTGCTGCCAGGCCTGCCAAACCTAATGGGGACACCATTGCCTCTGCTGGGTCTCGGCCTGCTTGGGCCTCCTCTATATTGCACTCACTGGCCACAGAGGCTCTACCATACGGAGCAAGCAGCCAGCCTCCCTGAAGGGACCCCTCCCAGCCTTCCCCACTTGCACACATCCTCTGATCAGCTCTACAACCCCCCACCACCAAGCCCAGCTGAACCTGGGAAGAGTCAGCAGTTGCCCTGATGGCTTTTTACAGCCTCTTTGGGTCTAACCTCAACCTTACTTGCTGCAGTAATCCATGTCCCCCAGATGAATCCCAACGCAGAGAAAGCAGAGCAGTCAATACTTACACAGGTGAGACATGTCTCTGGGCCCCTGATGCAGCCAACTCCCCTTCCTCAACCCTCTCCATGGCCCAAACCGCTCATCAACCCAGCCATATCTGAGCTCAGAAAACACACCAGGCTAAGGCTGACAAGAACTCAGGAATAGCCCTCCCGGTAACTTCCTATTTGCAATTTTAAGACAAATTATTAATTGCCTGTGCATGTTTGAGAAGGGAAGAATACCATGAGAAGGGGGAAAGACCTTTCATAATCCCACTTCCAAACACCAAAGATTTTGCCAATAACCTCATTTTACAAATCAAGAAACAGGCCCAGAGAAGGCAAGTAACTGGCCCAAGGTCACATAGCAAGTGAGACAGCAGAACTAGAAGCCAAGTGTCCAGCCACCTTCTGTAGCGCCTCCCTGGACACGGATGGCTCCACACCAGTCTCTAGACATGCGACTTCTCTGCCCTCTGCCCCCACTGTCATCACCAGCACCCCGACCCAAACCATCTCATCCCAACACAGGTTCATTTAAACTCCACACTGTGACCGTTAAAGTCCAGAACACGGTTAGGGCCAACGCTGCCTCAAGAGTCAGCAGCAGCGCCCCATGAACTACCTTTTCCCTGATCCCAAATGAGGTGCACCCAATTCTCCCTCTGAAGAAGCTTGTAGAGCATCCTTATTCCCAGTCCCAGAGAAAGTCTGTGCGCAGAACCTAAATCATATATTGAAAATGCCCTTTCTTGATAAGATGAGGGATTCAAGCTAGATCTCCGAAAGCATCTCCAAGTGGAAGGAATGGTTTAAGAAACCAGGGGAAAGAGGAGTGTGCAGAATGGAAGCTCCACCCCCACTGCCCCCCCTCCCCCAGCCTCCACCTCCACCCCCAGCACAGTCGGGGCAACAGACAGCCAAGCAGAACCAAACAGGAGAGAGAGGGGACCCTTGACTCTGGCAGATGCGGAGCAGCAAGCTGCTTTTTCCTGGGGCCCTTGCTTCTCCACCAGTACGCTATAGGTAGGGGAAACAAGTTAGACGGCCACACTAGTGCCCAGAGGGAAAGGCTTGGCTAGGGTGTCCCCATCCTCCGGCGGCTCCCACGCAGTCTTCAAGCCCGACTGGGACTCAGCCTAGAGCAGCAGAGGGTGGCAACAGGGAAGATCATGGAAAGGCAAACGCCTCCCTGGCATGATCGCGGTCCCTAGGACTCTCCTGGAGACCCCTGGCTGGGTCCCTCCAC